GATACAGATGTACTTTTTACAGCCATTATGCCAACCAGAACATTTCCATTTTGAAGCATCTACCATACTTACATATGATTGCCATCAGTGAATTAAAATTCCCTATGTTAAAGCATTCTCGGGCAACATCAATGAAGAACTCTATGACTTGCGCTCGCTGTTTCTTTTTCGCAGGCTGCAAATTAAATAAATAACTCATCACAACAAGCACATGCAAAATCATAGTCAATGCCAGGTTTTGGTGCCCTAGCAGGGGCGGCGGGTATCATAGGCAGGGGAAGGCATTGCCTTCCCAAACCACCAGGCATGGCCCTGCCCACACTCCACCCCCAGAATGCCTAATGTAGGAGTACTAGTGGTGGAGTGTTGCTGCTCTGTTCATGCTCTGGGGCCAAGGAGGCTGGGGCCATGCACCGCTCGCTCTCCCTGTGGTGCTGGGGGCAGGACCTGTGCCAAAGGGGTGGGGTTTGCCTCCCTCAGCCCTACCTTCATCCATCGCCCATGTGCCCTACCCCGGGAAATCCTAATTTTACAACTCAAGCACCTGAGTGTTTTTTAAAAAGCCCAGTTATTGCCTGATATTTTTTTCAAGCAGTTTGGATGACACATGATAGGTGACTGGCAGTCTCCAGAATCAAAGCTTTCTTCACAGATGCAGCCAACCCAAATCTTCCTAAGGTGGTTTATTCAACCACTGGCCTGGCACTGAAGCAGAAAGCCAACATCTAGAGACTGCTGACTGCAGGGAAGGATTGTTCCAAAGCTTTAATGCTACCAGGTTAAAAACAATGATCAGATAGTATGGGTGAACTCCTGGCTGCATGGAAATCTAGTGGGTATTTTACCATTGACTTTAGTGAGGCTAGAGGAGTTCTCCGTCTTCTAGAACAACTGTACTTTCATTTGATGGTGACTTTTTCTTACAATGTATTTAAAAACCTTTTCTCCTGTTCTGAATTTACTGCTGATGAAAAGGTCACAGAAAAGAGGAGGGAAGTTGTTAATCCACAAACCAGCACTGATGAGAATGGTGCAGGCTTCCCCACATTCTGGCTGTTAATTTCTCTGTTTCTCTTCTCCTCTTGTATATCACGCTCACCACCACAGTCTCCGAGCACTTGCCTCAGCACTGACTTGGAAGGACCACACCCAAGGAGGAGACAAAGTGTCCAAAAATCATTCAGCTTGGACTTTCTATTGAGACTTCCCATGAGCATTGCCAATCCAAGTTAATCTGGGTGGTGAAGCAGGGTTTAGAGACACATGGCCAGTGGTAACTAGAATGAGACCCCCATATTCTTTTCAACAAGGTCATCAAACCATCAGAAGATGGTATATAATTCAGGAGTCACTAGCAATTCAACCTGGCAACATTGAGGTGAAAGGTTCCGTGTTTCTTCCCCCTTTCCTCCATGACATTTCCTCTGCATTTTTAAAACAGGTAAAACATTTGGGTTGTTTACAATATCCAAATTAAATCATATCAATCATGCTTCATAGGAGCATTGCATATACATTCCATGTGCAGCGAGAGGCAGTGCGTCAAAGAACGGTGTGAAAGACACAAACAATAACACAATGGTAACTGTGAGCTGTGGCACGGTTGGTCATTGTTGTTCAGCTCCTCATCAGGTTTGCATTGGGATGAGACTGCCCAGAGACAGGGCACAGAGAGGGAAGAGGAAAGATCCTAGGAGAGATTCTGGGGAGATCCTCATGGAGAATGAGTGTGGTGAGCCACCCACCAAAAGAGATGCAGGAGAAACAGCCAGAGTGGTAGGAGGGGAACCAAGACAGGATCACAAAACCCAAGGCAGGCCACCATTGCAGAAAAGGGAGTCTGATTTACATATTCGAAGGCAGAAAAGAGGTCCAAGAAGATGCAGCTGGAGTAAAAGACATATGAGATCTGGCCAGGAGGACACTGGAGACTCTGGTGAGAGCAGATTCAGGAGAGTGGAAAGGGCAGAGCCAGACCAGCAAAGATCCAAGGTGTAGCCAGGGCAGAGAGTCAAGAATGCAGATCAGCATGTTTAATGAGTATAGAGATGAAAGGTGAAGGGAAATGGGGCAGAAGTCTGCATGATAGGAAGGGGTCAAGGTTGCCTTTTTCGAGCCTAGAAAACACCAGAACATGCCTGGATTGTACAGGGAATAAACCAGAAAAGATAGAAGAGGGGTTAAGGTGAGGTGGGAGAGAGGAGGCAAAAGAGGAGAAGTGACAGGAAAAAGGAGGAAAGTTGAGGTGGGAGAGAGGAGGCAAAAGAGGACAAGTGACAGGGAAAAGGAAGAAAGCGGTTTCAAGGGGAGAAGATAACAAGAGGGGCGGGGAGCAGAGAAAGAAGGTTATGGCAGTTCTTATCTCTTCATGTTTCACTCTTTAGTTTATAATAAGTAGAAGATTGGAGCAGGCTCATTTGGGATCCAGACACATACAGATTAAAAGCATTAGGAAGACCGAAGATAAAGATTTTTCTGCTTTTCTTTCTCCACTGGTATCTTTTCAATGGAGTAAAAATAAAACGAACCTGAATGAGACCAGGAGAGTCTATTCCCCTGCAGAGTTCATTATTCTACAATGCCACACTTGCTACTCACTCTCTGCTTCAACAGAAAGGGTTATTTTTCACTCGCTGCATTACCAGGCTCCCTCTCCTTTCCTGCCACCTTTTCCCTCCATGCCAGCTGTTTTGCTCTATGATTGTAATTTACCAGGGTGGTTCTGGGAGCACAATGTTATCAAAATGTATATGAACAACTTACCTGGGCCATAGACAATAAATCCCTGGCATTGCTCATTTATGTACCATCACAAACTGGCACATCAGGCATGTGATAAAATACTGCCATGCACTTTTCACTTACCATGCAAATTTCTGTTGCCACCAGATAGCAGAGTCTATTGAACCATTTCACATAGGCCTCTAGGTTACTAGTCTTTTTCTGCTCATTGAAACAAGGGTGAAAAAAGAAAAGCACTGAATGTCATAACAAACAAGATACTCATGTAAAATATAGGTAAGATATATGCTATACAAAGTTGCCACTGTTTGGCCACAAATCTCTCTCACACACCCACGTGCACACCTTGGTTTGTGCATGAAGGATGAAGTTAAGAAAGTGAGTTTATAGATTGGTAGTGGCAGATGCGCAGGATTAAAACGAGTTGCTTTATACAAATCCAATCAATCTACAGAGAACAGTCTTGTTTTGCCTACAACAAATGCTACCCAGTTTATGTTGATCCTTGTTCACTAGAATATTAACTGCCACGGTATCGCAGTATGTAAAGAACTGTATTAGTCTAAACAAGCAAAACATTCCAGAACATATACAGTTTGTTCCTTTAATTTCACCACTTCCCATAGCTCAGAAAATGCAATTGCCCACAGCTTTTTTCCTGGACAAGAAGACTCTCCAACTCAGTTAATAAAAACAAGAGCGAGCAAAAGAAATGACAAAAACAACAAGGAGTCTGTGGCACCTTAGAGACTAATAGATTGATTAGGACATACGCTTTGGTGGGTAAAACCCACTTCATCAGATGAATTGGAGTGGAGTTTACAGAGGCATGGGTACTTGTGTAAATGAAGCTAATCAAGACAGAGTGGAAGAGGTTCATTCATAGCAGTTGATGTGGGAATGTGGATATCAAGAGTGGGGAAATTGCCTTTGTAATGAGTTAACCAGTTAAGATCCTTATTCAGTTCTAAGTTGATAATACTGAATTTAAAAATGAATTTGCAAAAGAAAAGACAGTTAGGTTCACCTCTGCTTGGAAAATAATGGTTTCTTTCCTTCTCTTATTCCCTTGCCTGTTTGGAATGTCTTCTCAGCCGACCTGATTCTATTTTGTAAGTTGCCTTGAAACAGGTCATTTGATCCAAGGGAAGCTTACTCAGCAAAAGTTATTAGCTATAGTGTCTATTTTTCAGAGTACAGTCTCTTTAGGATTAGCAAAATGCAGGACAATGTAGCACTATAAAGACTAACAAGATGGTTTATTAGATGATGAGCTTTTGTGGGCCAGACCCACTTCCTCAGGTCAAATAGTGGAAGAAAGTAGTCACAACCATATATACCAAAGGATACAATTAAAAAAAATGAACAAATATGAAAAGGACAAATCACATTGCAGAACAGGAGGGGGATGCGGGGGGGAGGGGGAAGGAAGGAAGGTAAGTGTCTGTGAATTGATATTAGAGGTAGGGAGAGTGGGATGTTTGTGAGTTAATGGTATTAGAGGTGATAATTGGGGAAACTGTCTTGGTAATGGGTGAGATACTTTTATAAGTGCTACATTGTCCTGCATTTTGCTTCAACTACCCCAGACTAACACGGCTACATTTCTATCACTATTCTTTAGGATTAGGGACAGATCCTTAGCCAGTGTAAACTGTCCTACTTCTGCTGACTTCAATGCGTCTGTTGTCTTCAGTGGAGCTAAAACAGTTTATACCAGATCATAGAATCATAGAATAATAGGACTGGAAGGGACCTCAAGAGGTCATCGAGTCCAGCCCCCCGCCCTCAAGGCAGGACCAAGCTCAGATGAGGATCTGTTCCTGGAATTTTGAAAACTGAAGTCCCCTTAGAAAATCCAACTGTAATCAAGTTTGGGAATTTCCCTTTTAGGACTCACTCGTCTCTGTATCAGTGATTTCCAAAGTACGGGTTGCAACTGGGTCGTGGAATGCCAGGTACAGGATCACTTTGCTGTAGGGTGTCCAGGTGCAGTAGGGGTTGCTAAGGCAGGCTTCCTGCCTGTCCTGGCACTATGGACTGCACTGTACCCCAAAAGTGGTGAGCAGTGGGTCCCACTCCTATACGGGGGGAGCATGGGGCTCTATGCACTGTCCTCCCCCTGAGCACTAGCTGATTCCAGGCCAATGGTAGCTGGGGAGGATTATGCCTGTGTGTGAGAGAAGCATGCAGAGCAGCTTGCGCTCCTCTGCCTAGGACTCACATCGGCTACTGGTGTTTCTGAAGTGCCAGCACAGGCAGAAAGGAGCCTTAGAATCCTGTCAGCTGCTCGGCTGACTGTGAGTCTCTGGAGGTACGCCTGTGCCCAACCTGAACCCCCAATCCTTTGCCTCAGCTCTGAGCCCCCTCCTGCACCTCAAGCCCATCATTCCCACCCCACCCCAGAGTCCACACGCTAGTCAAAAGATGGAATTATGTTGGGTCACGGGCATCATGGATTTTCTTCAATTGGGTCGTGAGGAAAAAAAAGTTTGAAACCCACTGCTCGCTCTCTGGTTTATCTGTACATCTGTCAGCGGCCACTAGAGGGTATTGGTGGATACTGAGTTTTTATGTTATTAAAGAGGATCATTTCCCACACCAATGCAGTCTTAAGCAAATATCAGTAAGAAAGTCAACAGACAGTGCTTGTCTATCGGAAGCAAAACGTGATGCATGCAGAGGGCTCTGTGGCAGGCAATGGGACTACTCACGGCACGGAAAGTTGCTCAACTTAGACGTTTGCTCAATGAGTTTTCACAGGAAAAGAGCCTAATAGTGTGGCCCCCAACCTTTTCATGCCCACGATGAAGAATTTAAGGGCAGCCCAAGATCTATCCTGTACATCCCCCGAAGCCCCGCCCTGCTCACTCCATCCCCCCCTTTCTGTCGCTTGCTCTCCCCCACCCGCACTCACTTTTACTGGGCTGGGACAGAAGGTTGGGGTTCAGAAGGTGGTATGGGGTGCAGGAAAGGGTATGGGTTCAGATTCAGCTGGAAGTCAGTGCTGGAGCAGGTGCTTGGGGTACAGAAGGGGGTATGTGTGCTGGCTCTAGGAGGGGGTTAGGGTGGGGGATGAGGTGCGGGCGGGGGATTGGAGTACAGGAGGGGGCATGTGTGCTGGCTCTGAAGGGTGTTGGGTTGCAGAAGGGGCGCTGCAGGAGGGAGTTTGGATGCAGGAGGGGGTATGCAGGAGGGGGTACAAATGTCTACTTGCGGACAGACATTGGTATCTGCTGATTCGCAGGGCTTGGCTCCCAGGAGATGCTGTGGCCGAAGGAGAGAATGGAGGTGCTGCTGTGTCTGGGAGCCAGCGCCCCCTGCTGGCAGCTCCTCACAGCCACACGGCTGTACGGCCATCCTTTTCTCTGCTCCCCTTCTCCACAAACACTGGGCTACACTGGCCATTCCTGGGGCCAGGGAAGGCAGGGAGCCTGCCATGTGCCGACTGCAACAACTGGGAGAATCCCCAGGATCTACCAGCTGATCGCGATCGACCAGTTGATGACCACTGACCTACTATAATGCCCAAGGCACTTCCAACAGAGAAAATCTTGATCTAGAATTTTGGATCCAAAAGAGTTTAGAAATAGAAATCACTTTCCTGTACTTACATAAGAACATAAGAACGGCCGTACTGGGTCAGACCAAAGGTCCTTCTAGCCCAGTATCCTGTCTACCGACAGTGGCCAGCACCAGGTGCCCCAGAGAGGGTGGACGGAAGACAATGATCAAGCGATTTGTCTCCTGCCATCTCTCTCCAGCCTCTGACAAACAGAGGCCAAGGACACCATTTTATCCCCTGGCTAATAGCCTTTTATGGACCTAACCTCCATGAAATTATCTAGCTTCTCTTTAAACTCTATTATAGTCCTAGCCTTCACAGCCTCCTCTGGCAAGGAGTTCCACAGGTTGACTACACGCTGTGTGAAGAAGAACTTTCTTTTATTAGTTTTAAACCTGCTACCCTATAAACACTTAGCCCTTCCAACAGCTAATTCCAAAAATCTGACAAATTATCATCAAACACGACTGGGAGGAAAAAATTATATAGAGAAATGTGAATACAAATTAAGAGTTACTGAAGAAAATCGTATTGGATTGTTACAAATCCAAGATTCCAAATGTGAGGAAACAGACAATTTTGGAGAAAACCAGAGTTTAGTGGTGAAAGGAAAGCAGCAGATAGTAGGGGATAAAATATTTAACAAATGGGAAAAAGGGAAACCAGACAGCAAGCAATAGAAACTGAAAATTATGACAATTGAAATGAGATATTAAATAAATCAGGGGGAAATTCATGCTTGGCAGGGCCAAGAATTATCAAAAGGAGATTATGTATAATAAGAACAAAAGAAATCCAAGAAAAGTGCTTGGCCAATTCCTAGTGGGAGAAAGGAAACGTGTTAATATTCCATAAAAAATATGTGTTCAAGAAACAGCATTGTTCTGCATTCAGAAAGAAATAGCATGAGGCACTGAAGAAATACTTTCCATCCATTAACTGTCAAGAAGCATGTTCAGCAGCTTCTACAGTAGAACCTTTGAGAAATGAGCACCAGCGATATGAATTGGCTGATTAACCGCACATCTCATTTGGAATGAGACTATGCTGCCAGGCAGCAGCAGAAGCAAAAAAGAGAAATCATGGGACAGTTCTCTGTCAAATGCAAACTATTAAAATAAACAGAAAGTTTGAAAGAAAAGTTTGGACAAGGTGAGGAAACAGTGTAGAATTTGGTATGGAATTAGTTAAAAGAGTCTAGGAATATAATTAATTCCAGGCAACAGCATGATTTATGGAACATGGGACGTGTCAAATAAATCCAGTTTCACCTGCCGATGGCTTTTTCGATGAGCTTTGGCAGTGTGGATGCTCTCTTCTGGAAAAGCTTCTTCGGAAAGAAGCCTACCCCCTAGACTTAGCCTCAGAAACCAGCCAGAGCCCTGACATTCAAACTGGGGTGGTGACAGTGTCTGTCCATCCGCACACAGACGGCTCCTGAGGTCTTTTTTCAGCTCTTACTCCAAGGGGCGATTTATGTGGCCAGGGCCTCAAAGGTTGCCATCGTATTGTGCATCTACTTACAGCTTTCCCAGGAAATACCCACTCGGCCACAGAAATGCAGCCGCCTCGTGGCGGGAGGCCGTTAGCTGGTCTGGGCAGCGGGGGCACACCCAGGAGTCACATTTTGGCTCAT